AAAGTGATGAACATAAAATCCAAGATACAGAGGGTCGGTATATTTTACTCGAGCAAAATAGTGACACCAGACTACAAAGAAATTTAACTATTACATGTAGCGAATTCATTTTGGCTTTCTCAGAATACGAAAACATTATTTGCGAAGTTTATCTAGAGAGAAGGATAGAACTGGATTCATATGAACGTGATATTGTTGAGATGGCATCCATGACACGTGGTTCTGCATTTTATGATTATCACAAGGCCTTCTTGGCCAGAGCCAGTGCCCTTCTACAACAATGAAACATCAGAGTTGACTGGTCAGTTAGAGATACCGAACTGTTTACCACCATTTTTGCTGGACAAACTGTTATAAGATGTGACAATTGCAACAGTGCTACCCATACATTTTTGCCCAAGAGCCAAGTTCTAAATGCAGCTTCCAATAATTCACCCTCAGGAGAGAACAAGAACAGAGGTCAACAAAACCAACTGGATGTTCAAGGAAGGCCAAGAATCACTCACAGGGGCAGAGAAATAATTATTTAACAATTTCAACAGTGAGACAGGATGCAACAGACCTTCATGTAACCTAGTATACATATTTTCAACATGTAAGATGGGAAAGCATACATCTATACAATGTAAAGCAATGTCAAAACAAAAAAAGGGCAACCAAAGCAAGAAACAATGACTAGCTAGTTCATCCTCATAGACAGATTCTGGAAATCAAGAAATTTTAATTCCAATTAACATCAAAGCTTTTAAGTCAGAATTGCAACACCATCCACAGAAGAACTTTGTAAATACTTTTATTAATGATTTAGAGAGTGGGTTTGATACAGGAATTTCTCAGTTGCCAGCTACATCATTCGAATGCAAGAATTTAAGTTCAGCTAAGAAGAAACCCGAAGTAGTAGACACTATTATACTTAAGTATGAGACTGACAGAGGTTATGTAGATGTACCATATGATGAGCCACCTTTTGAAATCTATCGTATAAACCCTATTGGTGTTGCTGAAGGAAAATATTCAAGGAAATACAGATGGATAGTAGACCTCTAATCACCACATGACTCCACATCTGAAGAGAGTATCAATAGTCTAATCGATAAGGAAGATTACTCACTGCAGTATGTCTGCATCGGCAATGCCATAAGCATTTTGAAATCATTAGGTGTTAATTCCCTGATGTGCAATAATGACATTGTGGACGCATCCAAGTTAATACCACTGCCGAAATTTGTTCAACCTTTTTATGGCATAAAATGGGGAAACAAATATTACTTTTACAAAAGATTAGTATTTGGGTGCAGAAGTAGCCCAAAAAATATTTGGTATGCTCTTGCTGGCCTTGTGTTGGATTTTAATCAATAACACTATAAAACCAAACAAGTGCTACATTTGTTAGATGATTTCTTGACTTTAGATTCCACAGGCGAAGATGGATTCATGAGTATGGCATTATTAACAATGGTGTTTAACAAATTAGGAATTCCTATCTCGCAGAAGAAAACAAAAGGTCCATGTACCAAAATGGAATCCTTGAATAATACTGGACTCTGAAATAATGGAAGCATGTATCCCACCAGAAAAAATATTTTCTCTCATTGGCAATTTAAAGGCAAAACTTCTTGCACAAAGAGAGAACTTCTCAGCATATAAGGGCATTTCAATTTCGCAGCATGTTGCCTGATAACTAGTGTATACAACTAGAGTACTGTAAATACATTGTTTGTGTGTGTAGTTTTTCATGTATTAATTGTTTGATTTCATAATAGCTGAGTAGTTACCAAAAGGCAATTTGAATAAATCTGTAAATAATCATTTGTGTTGGTTTTATATAAAATGTTGTTTAATTTATGAAATATTGTTTATATAAAATCATGTAGATCAGGTCATATTTCAACATGCTTGTTATCATGTGATTCTCTAAGCCAATCTAATTATAAGCTTCTTGTATGGATCCTGCAGCTGTTGTGTTATCATCTCAAAGAACCACCTTCCTCCCCAACACCACTTTGATCTGATCTTGGGTAACTGTTTGGGCATTTTTCAAATGGGCATTTCACACTTGGTCAAGTGTGTTATTTAACCCCAAAAGAAATTTGTTTATGTTAAACCCATTTGGCTCCATCCTTACACACGCACACAGGCCATCGGCCACATTCTCTCCAGACCATCAGCCTTTCACTGTCTCAAGGCCATCGGCCATTTACACACATGCAAGGCCATCGGCTTAACTCACTCATGGCTATCGGCCTCACACTGTCACTAAGCCATTGGCCTCATGCACATGGGGGCCTGCAGCCCACCATGCATACAAGCCATCAGCTACCATATTTTGGCCATCGGTCTATTACACGATGAAATTACACATTATCAATGCCCTGTTATATCAGGCATGATGCCTGATAACTAGTGTATACAACTAGAGTACTGTAAATATGTTGTTTGAGTGTGTAATTTTTCATGTATAATTTGTTTCGATTTCATAATAGCTGAGTAGTTAGCAGAGTAGTTAGCAGAAGGCAATTTGAAACAAGAGGCCCAGGGGCCACATCGCTCACCTGAGCACTATGGCTAGGAAAAAGCAGAAATCAGTTCAGTCTTGAAAGGTTGAAAAGTTTAAATAAAAAAGTGGTTCGGGGGGTCATGAATTGAACAAATTTGAATCTAGATTCAAAAGATTTTTAAAGATTTTTCCTATATATTCCCATGTTAAACTTTGATCACCCATTGTGGCCCCACCCAACACCAAGGGGTCATGAATTGAACAAACTTGAATCTACACTATCTGAGGATGCTACCATATAAATATGACCAATCATGGCTTTCCTGTTCTTGAGAAGAAGATTTTTAAAGATTATTCCTATATTTTCCTATGTAAAACTTTGATCGCCCATTGTGGCCCTACCCGACCCCCGGGGGTCATGATTTGAACAAACTTGAATCTACACTACCTGAGGATGCTTCCATGTAAATATGACCAATCATGGCTTTGCTGTTCTTGAGAAGATTTTTTAAAGATTTTTCCTATATATTCCCATGTAAAACTTTGATCGCCCATTGTGGCCCCACCCTACCCCTGGGGGTCATGATTTGAACAAACTTGAATCTACACTACCTGAGGATGCTTCCATGTAAATATGACCAATCATGGCTTTGCTGTTCTTGAGAAGATTTTTAAAGATTTTTCCTATATATTCCCATGTTGTACTTTGATCGCCCATTGTGGCCCCACCCGACCCCTGGGGGTCATGAATTGAACAAACTTGAATCTACACTATCTGAGGATGCTACCATATAAATATGACCAATCATAACTTTGCTGTTCTTGAGAAGAAGATTTTTTAAGATTTTTCCTATATATTCCCATGTTGTACTTTGATCGCCCATTGTGGCCCCACCCGACACCAAGGGGTCATGATTTGAACAAATTTGAATCTACACTATCTGAGGATGCTACCATATAAATATGACCAATCATGGCTTTGCTGTTCTTCAGAAGAAGATTTTTAAAGATTATTCCTATATATTCCTATGTAAAACTTTGATCACCCATTGTGGCCCCACCTGACCCCCAGGGGTCACTTGAATCTACACTACCTGAGGATGCTTCCACATAAGGTTCATATTTTCAAGCACAGTGGTTCTTGAGAAGAAGATTTTTTAATGATGCCATTAATTTTACACGAATTCTTAATTATCTCCCCTTGGAAGAAGGCGTGGCCCTTCATTTGAACAAACTTGAATCCCCTTTACCCAAGGATACTTTGTGGCAAGTTTGGTTGAAATTGGCCCAGTGGTTCTTGAGAAGAAGATGAAAATGTGAAAAGTTTACAACGACAACAACGACGACAGACAACGGACAAATTTTGATCAGAAAAGCTCACTTGAGCCTTTGGCTCAGGTGAGCTAAAAATCTGTAAATAATCATTTGTGTTGGTTTTATATAAATGATTGATTAACAATGCTACAGCCCAATAAAACATCAAACCAAAAAATTATTTTTATTCTTTAGACTATAAAATTGTCATCTTATTGAGACATGCCACTCTTCAAATTGTTGTAAAGATATAAAAATAAAAAAAATGTTAATATACAATATCAAATTAGCTTTAATTATATTATACAATATCAACATAAGTTTTAATTAATTATATTATAAAGTAACTAATTAGTTTTAATTACTTTACTAACACCAAATTTATCTTGAAAGTTAGGCTAGCCAACACAAGAGGCTGATTTCTTTGCCCAATTACAAAAAGAAATAGATAACACCTGCTTGGTCAGGGATGCTCTACCAGTTATCTCCTCACACTAAACTCATTAATTTTTCTCTAATATGACATGCAATTTTTCTATTATCAAAATTCTCCTTGACCATGGGAGAGGTGGAATTTCTCTTTAAACATTACATTTGATACAGATTGCTGTAAAGTATATACTGAAAAAATAAGTTTTTTTTCTTGATTTAATATTTTTTAATAAGGATACTGCAATACTCTTACATCTTTTTTGACTAAATGATATAAATGATAAAATACATAGTTTTTTTTTTAATTTCACTTACTGGTAAATTAAAGGTCACAGTGACCTTGAAGTAGGCACACCTTCTGCCTAAGATGCATTAATTGGCCAAGTTTGATGATTCTAGGTCTACTACTTTTCTAGTCATGAGCCAGACAGGATTTTTCCATATTTGGCCATAGCATCTTAATTAAAGGTTAGAGCGACCTACTTTTAATGTGTGACACACCTTCTACACAAGATGTATCAGCTGACAAAGTTTGATAATTCTTGGCCTAATAGCATTAAAGTTATGAGCTGGACACGAAAAAGCTAACAGACAGACGGACAGATGGACAGACATGAATGCCATACCATAATACGTCCCCTCTTAAGACGGCATATAAAAAGCCATTTGAAATTAACATATTTTGAGTGATTTTTGAAAAAAAATTTAGTAATAGATATTTACACAAACTTTTGTCTAGAACTGTGTACAACCATACCTATCTGATTTCTTTGAATTTCCATTCTCTGCAAATAAAAGAAATTTAACATATACATTAATTTGATTAAAAACATGCTATAAAACACTCCATACTGAAAGTCAACAGGCAAGCTTTGTTTTAATGAAAAAAATATCTACTGCACATGTAATTATTTATACCTTTCTGTTTTTTTTGTTGATTTGGGATTACCAGCCAGTCTGTTTTTCTTTTGACTCCAGGATCAGGGGGTCTTTCAGGTCCAGGCTGTGATTTTAATGCCAATCGCTTCCAAAATACACATAATACTTCAACATTTTCCTGGTTTCTGATAATTTTTTTTAATTAAATTTTTTAGCTCACCTGAGCTGTAAGCTCAAGTGAGCTTTTCTGATCACCTGTTGTCTGTCCGTCATCTGTCTGTCTGTAAACTTTTCACATTTTCAACTTCTTCTCAAGAACCACTAGCTGGGCCAATTTTAACCAAAATTGGTACAAAGCATCCTTGGGTAAAGGGGAGTTTAAATTGTTACATGTAAAATGAAGGGCCAAGCTCCCTTACAAGGGGAGATAATCAAGAAAAGACAAAAATAAGGTGGGGTCATTAAAAAATCTTCTCAAGATCCACTGGGCCAGAAAAGCTGAAACTTACATGGAAGCCTCCTGGGGTAGTGTATATTTTAAATTATTCAAATCATGACCACGGGGGTTGGGTGGGGCCACAATGGGGAATCAAAGTTTTACAATGAAATGAGCTTGCAGATATTGAGCTGATTTTTGGTGTGTATCTTGATGCATTACAGATCAAGTTTGCATTTAGTTCCGCTTCAATGATTTTGACGGAATTATAGCCTTTTCAATTTTTCAGGGTTTTCCACAATTTTTTTCTAAACGCTTGCAGATATTGAGCTGATTTTTGGTATGTGACTTTACCTTGATGAGTTATAGATCAAGTTTGCATTTCATTCCCCTTCATTGATTTTTGAGGGAAACCAGATTACACTTGCCGGTAGAGGACTAGTATTGCTAATGCAATACTCTCAGAATGCTTGTTTCACTTATAACCAGTTTCTTCTTGGCAACACTTCTCATGTAATTATTTTTGTGCATATTATACTGTACTGTCCTTTTACTTACTTACTGGTTCTGGTCTTTCCTCGATAAATTTTGCCATTATATCAGATAGCGAACATCTACAATTTGTTGTCACAATCCTCTCTCACAGGGCCCAATTTTCAGAGGTCGGTCACTTCCAGGTTTGTTTTCAACAGATCACGTGTCAGAAAATTTTCGACAAATGTCAATAGCAGTTGATTTAGGTAATTGTAACAATTCACTTATCTTTCTCCACGAATAACCTTTCTGCATTAACTTCAAGATGATGTTTTTGACATCTGACCCCATCTCTTTTCCTTTCCAACCCATCTTTTTTAGTTTTGCTATATTTTCTCTTAATTTGTTAACAGCAGGCGGAAATATTGTCACATGTTTTATCATGTGACTAAATTTTCTAAATTTATACAGATGTGATCGTAACAGGGCAAGGTCATTTTCATTTTTAGTTTCGTCTTCAAGTGTAAACATGCCGCCATTTTGACCGAATACTTTTTGCAGGTGTGTGTAAATTGACATTATTAGAAATACATCAGTATGTATTAGCATATGAAGTTTGATAAAAATATTATGAATGGTTTCTTTAAAACTGAGCTAAACACTAATTTAAGAAAAGTGAGGTCAAGGTCAAAGGAAAGGTCAAGGTCAAAAAATGTTGATGCAGTTGAATAGCTTACATCAGTATGTATCAGCATATGAAGTTTGATAACACTATCTTGAATGGTATCTTTAAAACTGAGCTAAACACTAATTTAAGAAAAGTGAGGTCAAGGTCAAAGGAAAGGTCAAGGTAAAAAATATTGATGCAGTTGAATAGCTCTCATCAGTATGTATCAGCATATGAAGTTTATCAAAAATATCTTGAATTGTTTCATTAAAACTGAGCTAAACACTAATTTAAGAAAAGTGAGGTCAAGGTCAAAAGAAAGGTCAAGGTCATAAAATGTTGATGCAGTTGAATAGTTTACATCAGTATGTATCAACATATGAAGTTTGATTACACTATCTTGAATGGTATCTTTAAAACAGAGCTAAACACTAATTTAAGAAAAGTGAGGTCAAGGTCAAAAGAAAGGTCAAGGTCAAAAAATGTTGATGCAGTTGAATAGCTTCCATCAGTATGTATCAACATATGAAGTTTGATTACACTTACATCAGTATGTATCAACATATGAAGTTTGATTACACTATCTTGAATGGTATCTTTAAAACTGAGCTAAACACTAATTTAAGAAAAGTCAGGTCAAGGTCAAAGGAAAGGTCAAGGTCAAAAAATGTTGATGCAGTTGCATAGCTCTCATCAATATCTATCAGACGGAAGGACAGACAGAAGGATGGAAGGACAGAAGACGGACATGACAAACACTATATGCCCCGGCCATATTCATGGCGGGGCATAATAAAAATGTGCGGGGTATTTTTTTGTTGAGTAGATCAAAGGTCAAGGTCAAGTGGATAATACTGGTATTTTTCATAATATTTTATGACAAACAGTGTATACATAGCATAGACTTACCATCTTTAAATGTAAAAAATATGCTGTTTATCATAAACCGTTTTGAAAAGTAGGCCAAAGGTCAAAGTCAAGGGTCACAAACTCAGTAATCATGGTAGAGTAAAACACGCTTATAGCGAAGTGCCAGGGACAGACAATTTTGCTTTGTTATAAATGTTATTCTTTATATCTGTTATGTACATAATACTATTCAAAATGAGGGGAATAAAAATCACGCGTATCACTATAAGCATAAATTCATTATAAGCATGTTCGCTATAAGTGTATTTAATATAATTTACATGAGGCCCATGGGCCACAACACTCCCCTGAGTAACTATGGCCCTTCTTGTTTTTCATCAACAGTGGCCCCACCCTACACCTGGGGTCATGATTTGAACAAACTTAAATCTAAAATACCAGTGGATGCTTTGACATAAATATGACTGATCATGGCTTACCTGTTCTTCATCAGAAGATTTTTTAGATATTTCTCCAATGGAAAATTTGAACTCATCATAGCCCCACCCAAACCCTAGGGGATCATAATTTGAACAAATTTGAATCTAAACTATCTGAGGATACTTGCATATTAATATGATTTATCATGGCTTTTCTATTCTTTAAAGATTCTTCTTAGGCCAAATGAGAAAATATATCTGGTTCCTATTACACCTCCAAAACAAGAGACCCAAGGGCCTTGAATCGCTCTTCTGATAAATTGCACAACCAGTATCACTTCTATTTGAAGCCTCTAAGTATCTTGCTTATTTAAATAAAGCCCTGAAATTCCAAAAGTAGGTCATCATGACCTACATTTAAAATAAAACACTCTGAGAACTCAAGATGATTCTAAGCCAATTAGTACCTGAGAGTAGGTCACAGTGACCTACTTATCACTTGTCATTCTCCGAGGACCCAAGATGCATGAACTAACTAAGTTTGATAATTCTAAGCCAAATAGTACCTGAAAATAAAGCCATAAAATTTCAAAAGTAGGTCATGTTGACCTAGCGCTACTTTACAGTTGACATACCCCGAAGACCCAAGATGCAACAACTGACAGTTTGATGATTCTAAGCCAATTAGTACAAGATATATTTATTTATAACCATCAAATTTCAAAAGTAGGTCACAGTGACCTACTTTTCAGTTGACATACTTTGAGGAACTGATAAAATTTGATGATTCTAAGCCAATTAGTACCTGAAAAATATTTGATCAGGTCACAGTGACCTACTTTTCAGTCAACATACTCCAAGCACCTAAGTTGCATCAACCAACAAAGTTTGATGACTCTAAGTACATTAGTACAGTTGATTCCATTTTATCAAATAGCAGTTTAACTAATATTTCGGCTATTTCAATATCATATCAGAGCACAAAACCATTTCTTATATATTTATTAATAATTTCACCTACTATTCTGATGAGAAAATATTGGAATTTAGTTTTATCTGATACAAAAATTTGGACTATCATAGTGTTTTTTGATAATCAGCACTTTGTTCACACCTCCAACTTCGTATGTGAAGCCTTTGTTTACATTGTCTGACACCTCTCACCTTGAGTTTGACAATGAGGGGATTAGTTACTGCTGGACTCACACAGGCACCTTACCTGTGTTAATAGTGGACATAGTAGATAGACATGTTTTGTTTACAGATGTGGTGATCAGCTTGGGTTTTTAATTACTTATCAATGATGCACTGACCTGTTAATTATGACAATTATTTGCTTTTTCGGCATGAAATTTTAATTATTGGACTGATTAGCTTGTGTATGACATTTTGCTTGGATAATGAAATAAGCCTATTCAATCGTTTAACTTGTTCATTTGGCTGGTGAAATGGTTCACTTTTAAGTGCAGAATTTATGGTTAAAATCACAAACGGCCCTGTACTATAAATATATAAGGGTTGTTAGAAAAGTTCGCACACACATTGATTTACAGAAAATCTACTGTGTACTGTAAGTATGACTTATGTCTGATTAAATTCCTATCTTTTGTTTATTAGTATGTAAAAAATCAGGTCCATTTACTAAAATCTTGAAAATTTACAACAATTTTTACTATGCGGTCATAGGATTCAAGGAACAACCACTTGACATTAAGTAACGTGACAATCAGATTTCAAACCCGTAAAGCTTTTTCATAGTTCTAAATATCTTTCATTTCTTTCGACTTTTCTTGTCTTTTTTCTGCTTAAAAGTTAAATATCTATATCAAGACAAGTTACTTTTCTTCTATAATGTATTTTGTGCTGTTTCGGATATTAGTGAGATCTTAAAATAATAGTCTACGCAGTGAAGAGATCAGGTGTGGAAATAATGCAAAATCCATAGGCGCAACATCCATGCGATAAGTGGGATATTGAAGTATCAATGGAGTTGTTAATCCTTCCATTCTTCCAAAGCTACTATATTTTGAATACTTTTGTCCTTTGTATGTGTAGGCAATTTCCAGCAGCAGCTAGAAGCATTTTAGTTTATTTTAGACATTTTCCTGTCTGCACACATAATTTTTTAGTAGCTCGGTGCTCCATGACGTTCAATGATGTTTCCATTCTTGGCTTTGTTTTTATGCGTTGATTATTTATAAATGGCTATATATATAAAACAGTCATACACCCTCCAATTTAATTCATAATTTCGGCAAGTGACGTTCATGAATACTGTA